ATATATCATATATATCTTTTTGCGATTCAATTTTTTGATCCCGATGAGATTTAATCATTCAAGTTTCATTGAGGTGAAAATAATTTACTTAATTATATAACATTAAAATGCTAACATATATGTATAAGATTTATTATAACATTTAGTATAAAACGAAAGCATTATGCTTGTTGAAATAATATTGAACAATTAGATGATATATAATTATTATACTTTAAAAATAAAAGTATGTGTTTTGATCGAGAATTTTAAGCAATTAATATATAATCAGTATCTACTATGAAAATGTTTAAATTAAAACGCTTTTTAACAACATTTTTTATCTTGTCTATCTTTCAATATTGCTAAAAGAAATTGAGTGTCACGAAAGATTGCACCTCTCGTATGAACTTTAGTAATTATTAGAAAAATAATATGGTAATATAAGAATTGATGTGTGTGTAAGTGTAATGATTCTAAATATTATCTTAATACACAGACATGGGCGCGCGGACTATTTTAATATTATATTATATTTAATGAACTTCGCGGAGAGATGAGAGTTTAATGTATATATATGGGGAGAGATATTTTCTCTAAATTATTCGATATGCATATCAAGGATATATTTTTTCGGAACTCGCTGAAAGAAGACTCGTGAATTTTCATAGGTTGCATGCATTTCACCTGCAGCCAGTGTAAATATGAATTCTGCTGCGGTTGTGGCAAAGCTTTCATGATGGGAGCGAAGTGCACGGTTAGCCCCTATTGTGCCAAACTGGGCCTGCACGCCCATCATCCGCGCAATTGTCTCTTCTACCTTCGCGACAAGGAACCCGCGCAGCTGCAACAGTTACTCAGAGAGAACGGCATCGATTACGACACCGAGGGTCCGGTCGGGGAACGCAAGTGCAAAGTGCAATTGCAGAAAGAAACGCCGACCGGAGTCCTGGACACTATATGCAATTCCGACGTCATGGAGGGTCACGCTGGTCTGTGCAGGTAAGATTCATTAGCGAACAATATTCACATGTTCTCAGTGGCATCAAAAAATGCTAGTATTATTATAGACTATTGCAAACTCGGAAAATTGTATTCATAAAATTAAAATTTATATAAATTTAAAAAAGAAATGTTCTTAAAGAGGAACAGTTTGAAGAGACTCCATCATTATTGTCTAACCGATTAAAAATTGCTCGCACTTATCTCAGCCAAGATTATTTATTCAATTAATTCTTCGCAATCTCAAAAGAGAACGCGATAGCTGCGAAGGGAATTCCGAGCAATACATTCCGCGACGCGTTCGACGACCGTGGAGTTAGAAATTTCGCTCGCTCTCCCAATTTTCGAAGCGATCCCGGGCGATTTCTCGATAACGAGAATCCGCCGCGCTGCCTCCGCTCGATCGCTAACGAGAGATCCTCCGTGCATTCAGGATTCATTACATCGAGTATCTAGTTCAAAAGATCCGTATGACGCGGCTGGAACCGATGCCCTTGCTAAACGTGGACGATCTCGAAACGTGCGTGCGACGCGCCGGGCTGAAACTGCCCGCGAACTGGTACGGTCGCGACCCGCAGCATTACAAGAACGACCTGGTCGAGGTAAAGCGCGAGTGTGGTGGACACCCATGTGCCTGACTAAAATCTTGGGTACTTTTCCCCCTTAGGCAGCACTACATTGAGTACTTGGCGGGCCTGGTGCTCAAGGGCAGGCTGGACCCTGTGACGATCTTTGACTTGAACGACGCCAAGCAAGAGCTGCGCCGACGGGGAAAAGTTCCCCCTGCGAAGGACCAGGAAATGTCCGAGCGGGATTATCTCGAGGCGTGCATTCAGGTGACTAACACGACTCCTTTTCCACTTCTTCCTTCTTCTCTTTCTCTCCCTTCTTTTTCTCTTGTTTCTTCGATTCACCTCCCGCCTTTTGACCTACTGACCGAATTAACAGCACAGTTGCATGAAAGTAGAATTCCTGCGTGCACGAGACTTTCCAGCGCCGAAAATCGTAAAAGTGAATAGATCGCCGCCGAATGATGCTGTCGAACGGCCGCACCTGCGTCAATCTCCCGAGATATATCGTCGCGCTTGGACAATTTTTTCCGAATGCATTGTGAAAAATGAACAAGCTAGAAAATATTAACAAGGAACCACTCTATGTGGAATTCGATCTATAGTTTACGTGGGGGAAATCGTTTTTCACATTTTTTTTTAAATTCCTGTTTTTTTACAAGATGATTTATTTTAGCTACAATTCCTGTTGGTGAAATTTATAAAATAATTTTTTAGTAAAAATTTTTTTAGAAAGAATAATATATGATAAAAGAGAAGCGAATATTATTATATTTTGTATTCCGAATTCAATCAGGTCATCTATTATTTATTCCTTCCTGTTGTCAATATAAATACAATTCAAGTAGAAGATTCAAAAACGTTTAAATCAAAATATATTGGATATCTTTTAATTGTTTCTAAGTTCTTAATTGTCAATTACAATTGACCTATTTTTTATATGGATTTGCATACTTGGAAAAATTTTATAATGTATTAATTAATGTTATCAATCAATTAAATTTAGATTTCTATTTGAAGATATCAAGAGCTCACTAACGGAACTTATATGTGTTTAAAAAAATCCGGGTTTGTTAAATATATGTAAAGGTATTATGTCGGAAAGAAAGAAATTTTATTTTATCTGTGTATTATAAAAGAAATATTTTAAATCGATTCTCCCCTGATAGTAACTTCTAATTTCGATAATATTGAAAGGATATTCTATTAGATAGTGCTATATCATTTCGAGAGAAATAAAAATTTAATACCTGGCATTATATTCCAACATTGTAGATCCGCGCGGCCGTTGCAGCTTTTTTCTGCGTATATAACGATTTTCCTCTCCTCTATGAGTTGCCTTTTTTTTCGTACGATATATTGAAGTAAATAAGGTATACGAGCGTGGTATATGCCGCGAGAATACATTAACATTCTACAACTTCACCGTGTATAAAATATACTCCGATGTTGCAGGTCGTAAAAAAGGAGATTCCACTGGAGTGACTATGGAAGGATATTTCAGAAAAAACACTCGTACACCTGAAGTCATAAGTGAGAGAGATAGAACGTGTATCTTGTGCAGCGTGTATTTATTTTAATTTGTATACACTATACATGTGAAAGAGCCCCCTTCACCACAAGTGAAATTGATATAGGACCATAAAAAATGAATAATGTGCAGATGTGGATATAATTATGTCGCAAAAATTTATTTATTTTTTAACATGACGATAATGTGCGATTTGTATGTTAATTCGCGTAGCGTTAATTTATTCGTGATAGAAACATTGCGAGAAGAAATAGTGTTTATATTTCTCTAGAGACTCTACTTGTTAACAACCAAAGATTTGCAATAATTGAATGTTTCTTCAATGATGGAAAAAATATTTATCTCAATGGAATTTATAATTAGTGTTTGAAAATATATATTTATTTTTCTTGTCTTTATATAACTGTTTTTCAACAAATAGACGATTTAATTAAAGAAGTGTAAAATATTCGTGCCTATTCCTTCTTTCTGTATCTTTAAGTTCCAAATAGAAGTTTACAAATTCAGGTTTTAAAAGCAAAAGATTCATCAATTAAATAGAGTGTATAATAATACTTACATATATTTATACAGTTGTATGAATATTTGTCCTAAAAGTAAATTATACTATATTATCTAAATTTTCAATATAATTCTGCCAGAAAATTGTGTAAACTTTTTCTTTTTGTAGGCGTTGCTGTACTCTTTTCCATGATGTGTTTTAAACGTTCTATATTCAGTTTTTTAGATTTTTTAGTTGAAGTGGGTAACCTTTTGTTACTATTACTTGATATTATTTTAGGTACAGTTAAAGGCGATTTTCTACATGTTTTACTGTTATCTTCCTTATTCAATCGTGATACGGGTGTACAACCTGAAATATTCAAACCAGCAGTCTTGTCCTTAGATTTCTTCTTTTTCTTTTTACGGTTACTTTGCGGTGTCTGTATCTGGGAATTGTCTAATTTGACTGGCTTTAGCCGGTTTGTCTTTTTGAATGGCAATATGGTATTTTTAGAACAGACAGAACACTTGATAACCAATTTGTTCATCTCATTTTTGATAGATTTTTGTGCCAAAGCAACACAAACTTTTGGAATCTTCTGATTTGAATTTTCATTCATACGTCGCACAATCTTTTTCATTGATTTAGACATTTTTCTACCATGTGCTACCCGAACTTGATGATCCACAGTACTCCAAAGTGATCCACAATGGGAACACATTACTGACGGTCCAAAGTTCTGCTGTGGTAATTCTACTATATTGCTGAGATTTTTACATTTTTGCCTGAAAATGCATGCAAAAATTGAAAATATTTATTCTTTTATATTCTAATTATATACAGTACTAAAAATTCTATTTTCTAATATATATAGTACATATAATAGTATAAAAGATATTAAATTTATTATATTTGAGATATCTAAATTCACACACATTATTTTAATATAATTTAATTATCAGTTATGTAAAGAATTATTATTGTTAGATTATTGAAGCTATTGAAGTTATTGAAATTATTAAAATAATTATTCTACAATTTATATATCCAAAAATATTTAAAAACGTTAAGATACAATACACATCTAAGTGCAATATACGAAAATTCAGTTATTTTTCATATATATCATAAATTAAATAATATCAATATAAAATATGCAATAAATTACATATAAAACGTTTGTAACTCCGTAGTCAATGGATTCTTGAGCTTTGTCATAAATTGATTGGTGCTCCACAAATGTTTAACAGTTTCCATAAATTGATTGACATTCGGCGAAGGTTTAACAGCTTCCATGATGATCGTTATCAATATATGATTAAAATGTTTGTTACGGGATTTCAACGTTTAAATTGAGTTAAAAAAGTCTGTTATAATTCGCTCTTTGTACACATATGTTTATTAAAAATCACATCACAACCAATCTCGACACGTGCTCTATCACTATACTCACATCTCACACCCATTAACACTCACATCATCGCACATGAATACATCGTCCGGACGCAATGCAGCCAACGTGAGAAAAAGTGGAAACGACATTCCGAAACGCATTTATTTCGGAGCATCCTTTGACTATATGTTAGAACATATATAAATGGAAGGGGAATGCCTTTGTTTCCCGATAGAAAAACATGTCGGAAGGAAGTAAGAAAGAAAATCATAGTTGCCTCTCTCTTGTGAGTTACTTTGCTCAAAAGTGCGCATGCGCGGCCATGTGTGTGTACACAAAAGTATGTATACTACAGACACGATGCTTGTATGTGTAGTTACTCACAAGAGAGAGGCAACTACGATTTCTTTCTCACTTCCTTCGACACTTTTCAGCCTGCTATTCCCCTTCCATTTATATATGTTCTAAGGACTATATACCTCTGGACTGTTAATGGGCAGCCATTGTGCGATCCAAGATCTCTTCGCCGCCAGGACCCAAATGGCCAAGCCAAGAACTAATCACATGAATCACTTATTCTGAATTCTGACTGTGAATTATTTACAAAAAAAATATTGAAATATAACGCTATAATGAGTGTAACAGAAAAGCTATTTAATATTTATAGAATAGGAAATAAATGGAAAATGAAATACGCGTTTCAAAAAATTAGTATAAATGTGATAAGAAATATAAATCTGAATAAACTTTTTAATAATTTTAATGTGCACGTAATGGATAATGACTTGTTGAACAATCACAAGTATGAAGTAATAAAAATGATAATAGAATTATGCTTAAAAATAAAATTCTATTACATTGGAAAAGAATTTACGCGAAAATCGCATTTGACTTATGTTAGAAAAGATTTGACCAAAATAATATTGTTCAAAGGACAGTAATCGTAAATTATAATAAAAAATTATTTATATTCTTTTATGTAAGATTGCGTTTTTTATTTTTTTATTTTTTTTTTTTATTTTCAAGTATATTTTATTACATTACATTTTGATTTCCTTTCTTTTTAATAGAATACTTGTTGCTCTTTTCCATATTAAATTTTTTAATCGATTTAAATTTTAATAATGAACAATAATGAATCATTTTTTATTTCATTTATAGCACTTTTTCTCACTTCAAATTCTTCTCTTGCAAATAATTCACAGTCAGAATATATGATTTTTAATTCTTGGCTTGGCTATTTGGGTTCTGGGGGCGCTGAGATCTCGGATCGCGGCGTTTTACATTGGGCGCGTTCAGGAAACACAACTGTTGATCATCGTCTTGTCAACATTCCACGTTGATTTGTTGGTTCTAGAAGTAAGAACCAATCACTTTCGATTGCTACTCATCGGTTGCGTCTCCTGAACGCACCCATTGCTTAAATGAGAAAAGTGGGGGTCGTTGGCAGTCCATAGGTATATAGTCAAAGGATTAAATTCATTATAGTTCGGAAACTCGATCCTTGATACGGCCGCGCCAATCGCTATGTTCCTATTGGTCGTTCGCTTGCTGTCGAAAGCGAACATAGGCTGCGATCGAGAAGACGCTAGAGATGCTTCGAAGCATTACATTAACCAATCAGAATAAAGAAATTTTTACTCGTTTTGTTCTGATTGGTCAATCAAATGTTTCGAAGCATTTCTAGCGTCTTCCCGACCGCAGCCATAGTTGCGCAACTGCGCGAGAGAAAAGAAGAAAAACGGAGCATGAGAATAAGAGAAAGAGTAGTCGACTAGTCGACACAAGTTGACCCGTATCTCCGCGCTAGGCTCCGAGGCTCGAGCGCGCTTGTTCCACTCGCGACTCTTGGGTGGCAGGAAAACATTAGGACTGAAACGAATTATCGCCGCCGTTCAGCGCGAAATATTACATATTTCCGTGGCATAATCGTAAAGTGCATCGATCGTAGTGAACACTGTTGCGATCGACATCATCGTCGCGAAGTGACGTGCGAGCCAAAACGTGATAGTATGATGGTCTGATCGCGGTTCCAATATGACCGTGGACTTTGTTGACTACTTCTGGGTGAATATGTCGGCTATTATTTTCTCTTTTTCCTTCCTTTGGTATCCTCCGTCCCTCCCATCCTAATAGACGAATATATTTTACCGCGGAACGTTTTACTTAGGTTATTAGGTTATGTCATGAGAGAATGCATCCTTACATACGTGCCCTCCTCGCCGTCACGATTTTCTTTATCCCGTTCTGTTTCCTCTCTCTCTCTCTCTCTCTCTCTCTCTTTCTCTCTCTTTCTCTCTTTCTCTCTTTCATAAAAATTATGTAGATTTTTTCAAAATTTCGTTATCCCAATTGTATAATTTCAACCTAC